TCGAGCTCCTGGGACTCAGAATACTTCGAGCCTTGGGTGAAGGAAGATCTTAGGCAAAAACGCCCAGAATTTTCGTGCCTAATCGAGAACCGATTATGCCCCAGGGAGTTTCACTGTGCCATAACTAGCCATCCGAGGTGTCCCGATTACCCGACCACTTATAACACGCAGTATTTCATATCTCCCGGCTTCGTCGTTGTCGTCACCAATTTCCCTCCCTTCTACATCCTCCTCCCCTACCATCAGCTCACGGTGGTCCCGTGGAACTCCATAGCCCCGTATTGGCCCCGCACGCCTTGCATAAATTACAGACGACGCGGCAACCACCAAACCTCAGGAATTACGGAGCCTACCCGCAACATGCGATGACAAGCGACACGCGTTTGCACCTGAAGGCCCGACTCATCGGAATCGCGGTCTGCACGAACAAACCCCTTTCCGAACCACAACCGCTAAAACGGGCGAGTCATATGGCCCAGGATGCACCGCGCATACCACTTGCCTTGTGTTGCACGACAACAATCGCCATCAGACTGAGAGCAACCCGCCTCTTTGCCTTATTGCACCTATGCCCCTGAAACCCTGTCACATGAGATCTCAGTTCTGACCTGGGACTCCACCCCCACTTTCCCAAAAATCCTTGGCACACCCCTTTTCGCACTTCCAGACCCACATCCCACTCCGATCAGGAAGTCACGTCGGGCGTGAGGTTGGTATCGGAGCCCGACACGTGGCAGGGTTACGAGATTCGTAGGACGATAAGCGGAGCGATTTGGCTAACAGGGGACGACCTCGACCCCGGAACGCGCATCGACGCGACCCCGTCATTACCAGAAGCCGGTCGGCGGCTCGACGGGCGGTCAACATGAACCCCAATCAACAAAAACCCCAACAGAATCTGAATCCACAATAGAATCCTAATCAACCCGTACCACGGGCACGGGCTCCTATGACGCCACCCCATCTCTACCTATTTGATCCTGCACATCATCTTGCTGGAGCATGGCTGACCACGCTCCGGGCTCATCAGTATGACGACAACGAGGCACAGGTGAACATTCCCGCGCGATTGGGAGGAGACGCTCATCATTGTTCAGCACCTATGTGTGGGTCGATCTCCCGACGTTCGAGTGAGATTTCCTGAACCGGTTTGATTATATACATCCGGAACAAGCTCTCTTTATGATTAAAGACCGAGTTCAAAAACCCCTCGAGTCTGTCACTAAGTACCGGGACCGATTTTATCGAATGTTCGTAAAAACTGAACGAGGCGAACAAGTAGGAAGGGATGAATCTATTCATCGATGGAATCCACAGCCGAACGATGAGGGCGAAACTGCGAAAATAGTTATCCCCCATCAATCACACGCTGCAACAGATTATGGCAGCCCCAGAGGAAATGGGACGGAAGTTCACTGCGAGTTTCCTAGAAGGGGAAGACTATCCTAGGGAACGAGAGTCGTCCGAACTAGCAAGAGCCAAAGCTGAGTTGGCTGCACTACAGAACAAGTTTGAAAACATGGGGTTTGTGTCGGGCCCCGTCACCTATCTAGAACAGATTAGTCCCAAACGGCCAGCCCCGAGTGTGATTACCAGCATGCCCGTTCTAGTAATGACAACACCCCCGCCTTAGATCGAAAATCCCCCACGACCAAATGAATCTTCCGCCTTATTGGAACTCACCAAGACGCTGGTCACTCCGATCCAGGAAAGTAAGAAGGAACAGCGGGAACATAATGTTAGAATCGATGCAATTATGAGGTCGATGCGACCAATAGCGGTGAATACCGCCCCGATCCACGGGCTGGATCCGGCGTCGCCTCCCGCAAGGATCCCTGGTAATCTGAACGTCTGTTGCACGTGTCATCAACCAATGCGTATAGCCCAAGATTGCCCCCATCGACCCCCACAACCGCGAGTCGGGGCTGCACCTGTAGCCGTAGCTCCGATCGCTAACGGGCCAAGACGAGTAGGAGCATTGATGGAAGAAATGGAAGGAGGCGGAAATACCTTAGCTACAATGGAGGAAGCCACTGAGCTTATCCCATTGGATCAGTGTGTATCGCTTGGCTACCCAAGGCTTGAGATGATTGGAACAATCACACCGACGCCATAATAGAGGGAAGTGGCGGAGTGGTGACCTTCTCCAGGGGAAATGGAGTCGGGAGGACCCACCTTCATCACGGGGGAAATCGATGTTCTAAACATTGTGCGAACCTTGGATCATCGGATCCCTCTTCCGATTGGTCCCTTACTCTCAATATCAGAACAAGCCAACGAACGCATGTTGCAGCATTCAAGGCTAATCGGAAATGGTTCGCCCTTGCACGGACAGCTAATATGAAAATAAAAAGTCCCGCACAAGGCGAAAACGCTGCTGATACTTCAGATCCGATACGACTAGGATTAATCCAGAAAGATTATCATTTCCTAAGGATTAAACCAATCCCATGGAAATCCGCCGAGTGTGATATCGAGGTATGGGGAATTCCGTACAATGCTATTATTGACTCAGGAACCGCTGTTTTGGCTATCTCGTTACGAGTAGTCGAAAGGGCAGGAAGAAAGAACAATCTAATTATGCTTACAGAAAAAGATCAGCTCGTTTCAGTTGACGAAGAGAAAATCAAAACGGTGGGACGGATGACCAATGTTGCGTTTAGATTAGGGAAAGTGCATGCGCTGGGGGATGTTGTGGTCTTGGACGTAAGCACTTACGACGTCCTTTTCGGCCTTCCCGCTCTTGTGGCTCTGCGAGCCAATCTGGACTTCGAAAGGCGATCGATTGTCCTCTGAAATACAGGAGGAAGACCCTATGTCGTACCTATGAGACTGACCCTTCGTACCAATGCTAATGTAACCCCGCGAATTTCTCCGATAATGACGGGGGCTCTTCGCGTGATTACTTGGGACAACTCCGCAGACAATGAGCAATCATTGAAGGATGCGGACAACAACGATGAGGACGATCCAGTTATTCTGGAACTGGCGCAACAACGTATCTATTACCCTGTGCAAAGAGCGAATGTGAAACCATTAAGCCTGACTGATCAAGGTCTACAACGAACGCAAACCATGATTATGGGCGAGCCCCTCGTGCAGATTTCGAGGATGGTCGCCTCGCATGGTATAACGATAAAAGGCACTTCCGTGACATCACGGATCTCCCGCGATCTCTTTTGTCACCTGCCAAAGAGATACGATTGCTACGCTTAGGGGCGGAGGCCAATTCTTTGGAACCCCCTGGGCGCCTCGAAATGGGACTCAGAATCAAGATCGCAACGAAACCTATACCATGGCAGGACATTCGAGACGGCGTAACGCTGAAAGAACACATGGCCATCCGAGAGCAAGGCGCACAGGTGATGGTCACAATATTCTCTTGGTGATCGGATCATTCATTCATTTCTGCACCCCCACCTGGAAAGGCTACACGAATAAGTATGAAACGGATCAATGTACGGATATGGGATCAACAGTATGAATTGCACATGCCCCAGTACATACCTGATGAAATCCATCACCTAATCGCAGACATTTTGAAAGAGTACGAAGGAGCGATTAGCGTGACGGACACCGATATCGGACTATCGTTGGTTATACAACACGAACTTCGGACTGGAAACCATCCCCCGATTCACTGCAAGCCTTACAGGTACTCCCTGGTAGAACGGAAAACGGCCCTCCAGCGGATCCGGAAGTTCGAAGCTAATGGATGGATTGAATCTGCCACTGGGCCATGGTCATTCCCGGTAGTGTTAGTGCCAAAAAAGAATGGATCGATTCGCATCTGCATTGATTATCGCAAGCTGAATGACATCACGATCAAAGATGTATACCCCCTTCCCAGGATTGATGATCTGCTTGATGCGATTGGATGCGCTAATTATTTTCGTAAGTTTGATATCCGTCACGGCTTCCATCACATTCTGGTTAAGGAGGAAGATCGGCCGAAGACGACCTTTGTACTATTCGAAGGCACGTGGCAGTGGGTTCGGTGCCCGATGGGGATTTGCAACGCGTCCGCCACATTTTAGCGGACGATGAACGTGACATTTCAGAGCTTCATCAACAAAACGCGGCTGACTCAAACTTTAAGGATGATCAACTTCTGCGTCATCGTGTACATGGACGACATCCTGGTCTACTCGGAGACCTACCACGGACATGCACAACATATCGAGTGGACTCTCGGAGCTCTGAGAGATGCTGGGTTCAAGATTGCGCTTGAAAAGAGTGAGTTTTTCCTCTCGGAAATCTCGTTCCTGGGTTACGTGGTGACACGTGGAGGACTGAGGCCCGATTCGAGAAAGGTCGCAGTTGTGAAGGATGCTCCTGTTCCCACGTCGCTGACGCAAGTTCGCGCCTTCCTGGGACTAGCATCGTACTATCGTTGTTTTATTAAAGGTTTTGCGGCAATTGCACGGCCTCTAACAAACCTCCTACGGAAGGACCAGCCCCTCAGTTGGGACGGAGAGTGCGAGCAGGCCTTCGCCACTCTCAAGGGCGCTTTGGCCGCGACACCTATTTTGATCCGGCAGGACCCTTCGAAACAGTTCATTCGCATTACGGACTGGCAACCGGAGGCGATCTCCGCTATCCTAGTGCAGAAGGGGAACGACGGCCGCGAGCACGTCATCGAGTATGCATCACAGACAGTGCCAGACGACCGGAGGAATGATTCGGCCCTGCAGGGTGAATGCTATGCCGTAGTCTGGGGATTCATCACTTCCATCCGTACCTGTACGGACAAAAGTTCCTCCTCATTACCGATCACGAGCCATTGCTGGCTCTCAAGAAACTCACTAACTACACGGGTATGATTGGACGGTGGGCGGTGCGTCTACAGGAGTACGACTTCGACATTATCCATTGAAAGATAGAGAGGCACGGTAACGCGGACGGGTTGACGCGTCTGCATCGACCAGCAAAGGTACCCAAGGGCGAGGAGATCATTCCGTGGAAGGAATCGGAGTCGGCAAACGGATCAAAGTACGGACAAGTGGCAGTCCTTCCACGTGGCAAGAGGCAGATGAATGGCAATGGGTGACAAAGGTAATCTTGTGACTTCTCTCTCTCCCCTCTCATCCTCATTTCTTCTCTCCCTACCCGACAAATTTTGTTATTTTTGCAAAGCAATTTCGCGCGTTTACTCGGTCCCTATGCGCCCTAGTGGGGAAGGATATGTCGAATGGATAAATTGTCGACAGTGTGTCGCACGAGCCCATGACTCGTGCATCCAATACAGAAATGACGATAAGCCTTGGTTGTGTCCCTTGTGTAGGACTGATAAAATTTCGACCGAGACTCGGTTTCTCGACGCCACGTCAGAAGAGTTAGAAAAAACCCGAAAGTTTAGAAGGGCTGAGGTATGGACAAATGTTGCCTTGATAGCCACCTTGGTTGGTAACCCCCTCCAGGAATTCACTAAAGAGGACCGGACGAGGGCCAATGCTTTGGCTAGGGACTACCGCTGGAATGAGGGACGGTTGGAAAAACGGAAGACGGACGGTAGTGGGATTTGGATAGTAGTGCCGCACCCGTTCATGCGGTATGACTGAGTTAAGACAGCACATGAGAAAACTGCAGCCCATTTTGCCGTGCGGATCACGGAAGCGGCAATTGACAAAACTGAGTGGTATTGGTCCAACATTCGTGACGATGTGAAATTCATCGTCGCGAATTGTCAGGTCTGCGCCGCTGACAAGGCGCCGATTCGGCCGCCAAGATCGATAGTACCGACGGTAATTGAACGGCCTTTTCAGAGGGTTAGTATGGATACTACCGATATTGTGGTACCCCCTGGACCCAATAGCTGTGATTATTCAATCCTATTGGTGTTTGTGGACCATTTCTCAAAATGGATTGAGGCGTATCCGTGTCGTACGCGACAGGCGGTTGAAATCGCGCGATACGTCAACCGGTTTTTGGGGATGCATCAGGACACAAAGGAGATCCTGACCGATAACGGGGCAGAATTCAGAGGGGAAGTCTTAAGGAATTTGGTGGTACATGGCGTCGCTATTCGGAACATGACCCCTCACATGTCACAATCTAGTGGGCTGGTAGAAAACGCAAATCGGGTGATAAAGATGACATTGCGACGAAACATTGCGGCACGGGATCCGAGGCCCTGGCCCGATATCGTGGATCACATCTTGGCGGTCTATCGGGGAACGCCTCACGAGTCAACGGGCCTTAGCCCCTTTCAATTACGGACCAATAGTGTAGTCTGTGTCTCGATACAGAGTCTCCCCGATGAATCTTCATTGAACCGACGGCCCACAAGAGCCACGGTTCGGGACAAAGCCAAAAGGCACATGGAATTGATGGAACGGTCCCTTCCCCGACTAGCCCGAATGCGCCAGAAAATGACTGAGTTGGCCCACGATCGACAGGTCCGCAGTTACGAGACCCGAAACGGGAATGCAGGACCGCGGCCCCAATATAAATTAGGGGACCTGGTGCAGGTAAGGAAATGTGCTCGCCAGGGGAAGTTAGCGCCACGATTCTTCGGGCAATTTCGTGTGATCGAGCTCGGTCCGAACGGGGTGAACACGGTGCGCCTCGTGCCAGAGGTGTCGGAAAGCCGATCGACTAGACCGATCGTCCGCTACGTATCCTACCTACGTCCTCTTCCCTCCTCCCCATCTCCGGCCGTGTCTGCTTCCTCCTTCGCCCCAGAGGAAGACGACGACTCTCTTTCGCTCTCATCCCCTCCTGCATCTTTCGCCCCTTCTCACACTCCGTCCCCGTCGCCATCGCCATGAGTTTTTTCACTGAGCGAGCTCTCGGCGATCACATGCTGGCGCCACGTGGCGATATCTTGGCAATTCGGCAAGTCCATCATCCGCGATTCAGTCCGGATCTTCTACGGCTCGCGCAGTTCTTCTGTACCATGGGAGTGTACGCGGCAACGGAGTTTCGTGTTGGCGGAGGCGTCGACTTTTCGGCGGCTATCAACACCAGGAGTTAGCCACGTATCTACAATCGTCGTCTTTAGCGGCGATATTAGCACGATCAATCCGTTGCGACACACGGCCATCCGAACGACGCTAAGGGAGTGGGGCCAGCAACTGGCAACAGAGTGGGGTCAGTGGCTTACGTGGCGCGACGACAATCTTGTCCCCGCGAACGGCATCGAAGTCAGAGGGCTCCGGACATCTCGGCATGAGCCGGCGGTGGTACTTCCCGAGCTCGTCCCTTTCCAGCGTCCTCAATGAACCGATCCCAACTTTCTACCTCCGCTCTCCCAACTCTCTTCCCTACCTTCTGGCAGTCTGATCTTTCCCCCCGTCTCTCCTTTCGTCTAGAATCACTCGCTGTCCCTCTTCTCGATCGAAGGCAGTGGGAACGGTGGTGTGAGCAATTCGTGGATCTTTCGGTGTGTCTAGTCGGAGTACAACTGACGTGGACACGCGACGACGAGCACCGCGCCTGGATTGAGTACGTAGAGCTACTCCTTATCCAAGCTTGGAGAACAGAACTGGAGGGGGACCTTCTCGGATTTTTGTCCGGAACTGTGCAGCCCGGTCATCGACAGATGATCGTGCGGGAACTCACCATCCCCCTCGCCCAGCTGGTTGATGATCTTCCCTCGATATCATCTCATAGAGTGACGAGAGCCCAGTCCCGCACATCCTTTCGCGATCGTTGGCGCCCTATCTGCAGTGGTCGGCTTGCCTTGAAGGACTAGGAGGAGACAACAACCCGCCATCGCAAGCCGAGTACTTGAACCCACGGAGGATAATCGATATCTCTTTCTTCCAGCCTCACACGACATCCGATGACGAAGTGTTAACGCTGGAGGAGGAAGAAGAGGAGGAAGAAAAGGAGGAAGAAGAAGAAGACGAGGAGCAAGGAAAAGAAACTCCCGAAGAAGGGAGTTACAGCGGATACAACGAGGAAGAGTCGGGTGAGGAAGAAGAAGAAGAAGAAGAAGAAGATCAGTTGGAGGAGGAAGAATCTGAGTGGGAAACCCTGGAAGAAGAGGCGGAACGAGCAGAGGAGGACCCCGAGGCGGTACGAAAGCGGGAAGAAATCGCGGCCGGCAAGCAGCAGCTCGAGTATGCAAGTGGGACGGATCTGCCGATCGCAGACGATCCAGCCAAGGACCCCGAGCCGCCTAGGCCAGAGGATGGGGACCCTGCTGCCATGACTTCGAGCGCACCGACCAGGCGACGGCGAAGCTGATCCCCCTCCCCCTCCACCTCAGCCCGTCCCCCAATTCGTGCACGTGCCGATGCGGGGAATCGGGCTTCGTCCCTGGTCATTATCCCGCCGTCGCCTTGACTACCTCACCCTCCGCCGGATCACCACCCGCGTCACCTTCCCCCACAACCCTTTCCCAATAGACACCTTTCGTTTTCTCTACGCCACCCGTCTTGCTGTCACGGTTCATCCTCATCCCTCTACCCGGTGTGCCTCCCCTGTCTTCTGTCGTCACGCCCTTCTCTTCAGTGCCGTGTGGCGAGGCCACAATATCGTCGAGGTCTACTGCATGATCACGGGGACTATCCCCGCATGTGAAAACCACGATCACTTCCGCACGACACTCTTCCGGACTTTCGCTACCCTTAACCCTGACTATCTCGCATCCCTTCCCCATAGAGGTAACCGATTCCCCCGCTTTCATCGGATCATCCGTTATCAGGAGCTTTCGGTGACAGTGGCGGAAATGGAGAGTTTCCTACCCCCGCTCCCGACTAACCCCCCCCCTCGCCATGCCCCCATGTATCGTCTTCCTTTTCCCCTCCCCAGTGGCCATTGATGCTCGGATGATTGGCACGTGCCACGGCGATGGCACGTATGATCCCCTCCTTGGATTGAAAAGAGCCCTTCCTGAGGAAATTGTAGCGTAGAGCTGTGTATGCCACGTCGAATGACTTTCACACTCTTACCACACGGTAAGTGGCAACGAGGAAAAGCTCCGTGTGTCGATCGATTAGAGAAATCAACACGTGTCATGGTTCAAGCTAGCGGGAATTTGCTTAAGATTGGAACCCCCTGGGCGTCACATATGTGACGAACCACTTTCTGTTCCACGCGATTTTCTGCGCGATGACAATGAGGGGTCCTAAGATGGGAAGGTTGGGCCAATTTTGGGAGATTGGGATTAACGGAGGAATTGCATCGGTGTCCTCGCTTCTTGATCGTTTTGCGTCACTTCTTTTCGGATGGCTGGTTCGGTCACAGGCGAGTCCAGGGATGGTCGGTTGAGTGGTCGATCGAATGGCTGGCGCGCCGCCATGTGCGCGATTAATAAATATTGACGTCGTCTCTTTCTGTTTCTGCTGTCGGATTTTAGGAGCGGAGGTCGCGCGGAAAGTTTTGCTTCTTCTTTTTGAAATTCTTTTTCGAATATTGTCGGCTCTCGAAATTTCGGACTTTCTTTTCGGAATTTGTATTTTATTAAAGTTCTTTTTGCACTAGCCAAGAATTTAGGAATTTAGGATTTCTTTTGCCGCACGCTGCCTTATTACTTGCGCGCTTCTTTTTGCGACTGTGGCGGAACTCTGATTAATAGGCGCCTTTAATCTTGTGTGTAACTGTAATCTTTGGGCGGGCACCATTGTAAATGTATCTTCTTTCTTGAGCTTCGTCTTTCCCGCCCACTCTTTCTCTTCTTGCCAAGTTCGGGTAGCCCGCGGACTGCATGTTCGGATCGATGCGTTGTCGGGCGCATCGGTCCGGCACCGCACACGGCAGCGCGGGACCCTCTCGGCCGCGTCACGCAGGAGTTGGACCAACCTTGCCACGAACATACAAATGAAGCTTCCTTAGGCCGCTCCGGCCGAGTGCGCCAGCCATACCTCTCGCGAGCCCCTATGACAGGATAGGGCCTACGCGAGGCACAACTTACCTCCACCTTACGGGAACTGTCACCTCCCTTCGGTGGACGTATCCCCGCCGAGGTACCAGCCCACAGTATGAAAGCTACTCGGTTGCAATCGCAGAGGTGGACCAGCCAAGGGCGTTTCTCGTACGCTGTAGCATAGGGGGTACGTGCGGTAATACGCCTATCGGGCTTGCACACGAACCGACATCTTGGGGGGCTTAAGCCCCAAGCGCGGCTCGACATCGGTCGACTAGGACGCATCCCACACACCACGCGCATACCACTTTACGAACACAAAAATAAAACGCACACACACACACACTTCGAACAACGCGACAACACTCCTAGTCCCTTCAGTAGCTGTCCCATAACTTTCTGATGCGGAAATCGGACAGACGTCGCGCACGAGACTTGATATAAAATCTCGCGGACGCAGGGCTAACTCATGTCGACTCGCAATGCAAGCGTACGCAAGCAGTCGCAATGATGGCGTACTATGTCATGCCCATAATCAAGCGGTCCCTCGTAGATCCGAGTACCGCTCATGACACTCAAGTGTCAGACTCGAAGTGTCGTGAGGGTCTAACCCTTCACGACATTGCACGACTGAAGGAATAGTCGTGCAGCCGCCGCGAGACCTCCGACCTTTGGTCTGAGCGTCTCGGTAGGCAAGGCAAATAGGCTCTGCACGGGGGCAAATTCCTTCCCTGCAGAGTCTAGGGCTCGGGATGTCCTGGACAAGGACCTTGAATCCCGGCCCAGGACCAACGTCCGACTATATAAATCTTCTAAAAAGCAAAGGTAAGAAGGGAATCCCCCTTTTCCCTCAGGACACAATCAGGTTAACCCTTATGCACAATCACAGTGGCCTCTCAAACATTCAGGGCACTTGTAAACATATAAGGGTTAATTTTATAGGACGATCACTTCTCACAGTCACAGTGGGGCTCCTCTCAACCATATATGTATGTAATCGCAGACAATCACATCCAGGGTCCGAACCACAAATGCACCTGCAATCACATCAAACATTCATCCAAAAGTCCACGCACTACACGGGGTCAACTTCAACCATTCCTTGCACTCATACCCCTCGCTTTAGCCATATAAGCCTCACTCGTGCAACTCTTAAATAAATACTCAGTACTTTTGTTGGATGACCATTTAATAAAGTCCAGGTAAAAACACAACAAAACAGTTCAATCACAGGGCTAAAGCCTTTAGGTTGAGTGGCAGGAGTGGATTGGAGTTGAATCATAAACTGACGAATCGGCAACCGACCTGTTATCAGTGATAACAGAAGATGATCCTCATAGGATCAAGCTGAAACTAGTCCAAATCCTGAATCAGACGGTCAAGAAGACCTGTAACACAAGACAGACCAAACTCAAGCTAAGTCTACAAGTTCATGGAGAATGATCCCCATATCACGATCTCACTCAAACCTCCGTAATTGACTAAGCCTGAATCTACCCTTACGCAGTGCCCAAAGCAAAGGTAGACCCTGGCATAATCTCCCCTACACAGGATGGATTATCATAATCGCCACCTATCAAAATATAATTCAACTCCTGTAAATCAAGAAAATTTCGGCAGCGCTTCCCGTAGGAAAAATATCTTTTCAGAAATTATATCAACCTGAATATGGAAACAGAAATAGTTTTTAACTTTCCAAAGTCCAATTCTATCTAACTCCCTAAATTAACAAAAAATTGGGCAGCACTCCCTTTAGAAAAGGAGACTTTTCAAATTTTTACTAAGCCATGTATGAATTTTAGATGAGTTGAACTTTGAAAAGCCAAAATTTGGCTAACTCCTTGGATTTGCAGAAATCTCGGCAGCGCTTCCCGTTGAGAAAGTAGCTTACCAAAATTTATACAAAGCCACGTATAACAAATGACCTCAGAAAATGCGAGAATTGATCTAAGTAAAAAAAACTGAGCTAAGAAAATGCAGGAATTGAAACTAACTCCTATGACTCTAGCACGTGGCGAGCGACTAAAGCGACTACCTATCAAACTGAAGCTCAAACCAAGTAGTAGCCTCACTCAGTCACATGCAGGCCAAACCACAAAGGTAAGTACTCTCGCCATCCCAAGATATACCTGAACAAACAATAGTTCATGATCTTTTAACGCTTTAGCCCTTTATACCCAGCTTACATAAGGCATAGGTCAGGCCACCTGAACTTACAGAGCGCGCCCAACTTAGCCAGGCCTAAAGTCGGAACACCTAAACTTATAGAGCGTTCTGACTTAGCCAAATATACACAAAACAGAGGGCACAACTACTTCTCTCTTCTTTGGGCATATGACTAGACCACTTTAGTCGCCCTGAACTGTTTAAATAGCCAAGTTGTATATATCTCCCTGAACTTAATCTTCAAAGTGGACACAGGGCTAAGCCGCTCAACTTAGAACATTGCTCAGCCTGCCCAGGTTTACCTTCAGTTATATCTCTTACTTATACTCTCTTCAATTGTGATACGCTATAGCCAGGCTACCTAAACTTATAGAGCGGCCTGACTAGCCTATTCTTAATATAGTAATACAATATAACCAAATCATAACCATTGGGTTCCAACATGTGCGAGGCATTGGGTCAGACTACCTAAACTTATAGAGCGGTCTGATACTCTGCCAGGTTCGTTCCTCTCTGATCCAGTCTGTGCGAGGCAGCGGGCCAGACCACCTAAACTTATAGAGCAGCCTGCCTCCTGCCAGAATTACTTCCTCAAAATGAAACAGGAAAAGGGTTGAACCACCTAAACTTATAGAGCGGTTCAGGCCTCCTCGTTCAGAAATAAGGAAACTTAGGAAAACCCAATAAACAAAGCAACTCAGGGTACCTAAACTTATAGAGCGCCCTGAGCTCCTGAAAATCAAACACAACCAACCCCCGCAAGTCAGAGCAGTCAGGTCACCTAAGCTTATAAAGCGTCCTGACCCTCCATGCAGTTCAAAACACCGGGTCTCCCAAAACTTATGGGGACATCCCAGCCTCCAAAGCAATCAGACCCCCTAAACTTATAAAAGAGTCTGATGCTCCAATCAAAACCAAAATAAACAAAGCGCTGGGTCTCCCCAAACTTATGGGGACCTCCCAACCTTAACGACCTAGTCAAAACTGCGAGCAATACCGCCTTCCTCCCAACCTTCCCCCATATGCAACCTCTTTTGTTTACAATTTGCTTTCAGACAATCAACAAAGCTGAAACCGAGGTTGCACACACACGTTCCTTTACTTTAGTTTGACTTATGTCCTGAAAGTCAACCCAAAATCAGAGTACAGGATTCACGCAATACACTCAGTCAAACCATAGAAAAATGTACAGCTAGGGGTTATAGTTGGGTTTATAAAGGGAGTCTGAATTACCACTCAGTTCCCTGCCT